TTCATAGGCATCCAAAGTCCAATTATATCAAGTGATTATACAGAACAGAATCGACGTAACAAGACTCTAAACAACAAGCTAAAAGAATACTGACATTAAAAAAAAAAGAAAGAATACTGCCAACATCAATACCACATGACTTATGAGACGCCTTTTTTGAAAGCATTACAACAGATTCATTAAAGCGGAATAAAAAACATTTGAGGCATAACAGGATTTCATTCCACACCGCTCTTTTCTGAAAAAATTGAGGGATGAATCCATCTGATTTTACAAAGGAAAAAAATTGAACAGAAAGGAAGACTGATGCAAGAAAATTTTACTTAAAGGAGTGTAAAGGTTTTTAAGAATACGCCATACAAAAGTCGAAAAATTTTAAACGAATACTGAAACTTAAAATTAAACATCACAGCAATAAAACCACACCGACATGAACATCGAAAGAGCCTTTGCACCACTGGGACGGTTGGACCCGGTAAAAAAAAAAAACGGCGAAAACAAAAATCATCTATGTTTTCAACATCAATAAGCACATTACAATTTCTTTCCTCATTCCTCATCAGTCTGCGCTTTTTTCCTGACTTCTGCCAAAAAACTGTCGAATATTTTCTTATTGTCTTCAAACTGAGCAAGCTAAAATTAACAATATTCACTGGCCACATTAACACTATTTCATCAAAATCTTTGAATTTTGGAGTAATAAATGTCCAGCAAAGAAAAATTACCAATTCAGGTATAACAGACGTGCTGTCAACCTGAAATGACAAATGCGTTGGAGCCGACCTGCACTGTTTCATGAACTCTCCAAGCCCATCCGCCAAGTTTTCATTATTTCCAAATGCAACCTAAAACTGAACTGCTGATAAAAAAAATGACATAGTAAGGAGTACTGAACGAGAGGGTCAAATTCGTATTCTTCAAAAGGACCATAAACAAGCTGTTAGTGAATGGTTTCGCAAAGCGCAGAAAAAACTAAGACTTTGTTTAACTGAAAAATAGGCCCAGAAGAACAGACAACCTTCACATAACTGTCGTCACTACTTGTCTCATCATCATCACTCTGATCACCATCGACAACACGTTTCCTTTTATCACTGTTCCCGACATTATCCATTAAATTTACTCCAGACGGTACTGTTGAACACTGATGTATTCGACTTACGGGACTTGTTGCAGAAAGAGTTGGTTCACAAGCTGTGGGAGTTGATGCAGGTGAAGGAGGATGAACTGCAAAAAAGTGAAGTACAATGAATTTGTACACTGTATACGAGAAGTACGGGAAGTATTTCTACTGTGCCTCGATTGTGCTTAGGTAATAAATATTGGATTAAAAAACTTAGTCGAAAGCGTACCGGCTGCCGGTACGAGGATGCGTTTTCTACACAGCTCCCCCGCAGGTTTTTTTCGCCAGTGGAACGCTCTTCCCCGCAGATGCTTCTAGCTAGAAGAATTGTGACTGGCCACCACGATTGTTAGAAATTATTACAGTGACTTCCAATCCATGTCCAAAAAATTCAGCGCTCTGGATGCTTCGGC